CTGCAGGCACGATATGGAAGAGGCAGGGTCGGGCCTGCTTGCCGATGGTGTTGGTGGCCCAGCAGAGAAGGGTACCGTAGTCCAGCTCCGTCATGGGGGTGTAGGTGATGATGCTGAAGGTGGGAGCCGAGGTGAACCTGCCATTGGGTACGTCGATGGTGTCTGCCGTGTTGTTGAAGGTCCATTTGAACTTCTCGGCGGGAGGGTTGGCCACCACTCTGCAGGTTACCTCAGCGTCCTCGTGCCTCGCCACTCCGTAGGTTGTCACTTGACCCGGAGCACACACGGGGGAGTCTGTGGGCACCAGGAGGAGAACACGATAAAGGGAGCGTACAGTCATCTCACCACTTAGCAGTTATGGAGGCTAGTACTGTACGTTCTTTGTTACTTTGTTTTGAACTTTAATTGTCCAGCGTTAGTGCAGGAGGAAAGCGTAGTACCCCGGATGACCTGCCATGATTGGTAGTGTCTCATTATATGTCCTGGGTTCGAGTCCAGGCCCAGGACAGGTGTGGCAGTGTACCACTACCAAATGGCAGGTTTTCTCCTGTACTAACACTGTACAATAAAGTTTGTAATAAATTAACAAAGAACAGCCCATCCTCCGATCGGCTGGTAATAAGTGGTGAAATAATAAATTAAGTGTACTGGAAGTGAGAACATAAGTGATTAAATAACAGCGATGGGCAGACACCCATGACTCACACACCGTTACTGTCAGTGCTGGGCTGGGCACCGCCTGGCCCGGGACCACCAGAACCAGATGGTGTTGGTACTTAACGGCCCCTACTGGAAGGAAGCGTCTCATGGCTCTGTCAGTTATCCTTGGTCACATTGTCTGAATAACAACCAATAACAGCCACATTGAAGGTGTTGTGACTCACTGTGTTTTGGCCTTATTGTGAGGACTGTAGTGTAGAAAACATAACTTAATACAGACAAATAGTGAAAAATAAGGTAGTGTGGCACTGCGGTAGTTTCCTCTCTCTGTTGCTACGGCGCCTGTCTGGTGTAAACGCCACCAATGAGACAGTATTAATTTTCTCTTTTCTCGTCGTTCTTATAGTGACTGTGAACATTTCAGGCGAGGAACACACACACCTTTATTTCAGGACCATCATGTCGGTGGAGTCTTCACGTACACGATTAACAGATAAAAGGTTTTAACTGATGTAAAAATGACTTCAAGAAAAACTAAATTGTCAAAACCGATCAAGGCAACTCACACACTCACAACTCACACACTCACAACTCACACACTCACAGCTCACACACTCACAGCTCACACACTCACAAATCACACACTCACAACTCACACACTCACAACTCACACATTCACAGCTCACACACTCACAACTCACACACTCACAGCTCACACACTCACAACTCACACACTCACAGCTCACACACTCACAACTCACACACTCACAGCTCACACACTCACAACTCACACACTCACAGCTCACACACTCACAACTCACACACTCACACCTCACACACTCACATCTCATACTCACACACTTATAATATTAATAATAATAATTAACGGTTTATTGAAAAAATTCTGCAGCCTGAAGGCTGAAAATATACATTGGACATAAATGACTTATTACATACATTGGTGGTTTAACAAAAGCCTTCATTAGAGAAAGGTGAAGGAACATACAGTGAACATACAGATTAATGTAGGTGTTGAACAGCAAACACGTAGTGTAGTAACTCCCTCCCAGATGGTGTTAGGAGGAACTCACGTGGTGTAGTAGTTCCCTCAGATGTTGTTATGAGGGACCTGGCGTGGTGTAGTAATTCCCTCGCTGATGGTGTTATGAGGGGCCTCACGTGGTGTAGTAATTCCCTCACAGATGGTGTTATGAGGGACCTCACGTGGTGTAGTAATTACCTCACAGATGGTGTTATGAGGGACCTCACGTGGTGTAGTAATTACCTCACAGATGGTGTTATGAGGGGCCTCACGTGGTGTAGTAACTCCCTCACAGATGGTGTTATGAGGGGCATCACGTGGTGTAGTAATTCCCTCACAGATGGTGTGATGAGGGACTTGACGTGGTGTAGTAATTCCCTCACATATGGTGTTATGAGGGACTTGACGTGGTGTAGTAATTCCCTCACAGATGGTGTTATATGAGTGAGGTTTGGTCTTAGGCCTTCCTATCGTAGACGGATTAAGTCATCGGTGGTTGTTGTTGGGTCTCGCTGGGGCCGTTATCACTGGGTACCTGGGACCTCACTGTGTGAAGGTTAACTTGGGTACGACTGTTACTGTTGAGTTGTTCTCACTGACTTAGCACTGTTCACCACTGTTCATCTCTGTTTAACACTGGTTCCGTTCCTTTCCTAAATGAATTGTAACTTCTGGAACTTGTTGATATTCCGGTGGGAGGAGGGTTCAGGGGAGGGGGTTGGTATGGGCCAACTTCACACCTCACACATCACCTCACACCTCACACTCACCCTCACACCTCCTCCACACCTCCCTCTCCTCACTGCCTCACACTCACACCTCACACACCTCACACTCCATCTCACCTCACCTCACATACCTCACACTCACTCACACCTCCTTCACTCCCCCCTCACTCACCTCTGTAATCCCTCACACTCCACCTACCTCCCACTCACACCTCCATACTCCCACCTCACACCTCACTCCCCCTCACACCCCTCACACACCTCCTCCCACTCCTCACCTCATCTCACACTCACATCTCCACCTCCTCTCTCTACCTCTCCACTCCACCCTCACCATACTCCTGCACACCTCTGTCTCACCTCACACCTCACACACCCTCTCACACACACTCCTCACACTCACACCTCACCTTACTCCACACCTGCCTCACCACACTCCACCTCTCACATCCACACCTCACACCTCCCTCACACACTCACCACCCCACACCTCACATACTCACACCTTACACACATCTCACACCTCCCCACCTCCCATACTCACACACACCCTCACACCTCCACCTCACCTCCCACACCTCCCCCTTACTCATCCCCACACCTCCTCACATCCTTTACTCACATCACACACACACCCCACACACACACACACACCTCACACACTCACACTCCACCTCACACCTCCCTCCACGCACACCTCCACACACACCACACACTCACACCTGCCTCTCCCACACACTCACACACTCACTCACACAAACACACTCCCACCTCACCTTACCTCACACACTCACACCTCCCACACACTCACACCTTACACACACACACACACCTCCACACTCTACACACTCACCTCACACACTCACACACTCACACACACTCACACACACACACACACACACACACAATCACACCTCACACCTCACACCTCACACACTCACACACCTCCTGACTCACCTCACACTCACTTCTCTAGCTTACCTCACACACTCCACCTCCTGCACCTCCACCACACCTCCACACTCACACACACTCACCTCCCACCTCACACACTCACACCTCACACACTCACACACCTCACTCACACTCACACCTCATACTCACACCTCACACACTCACACCTCACACACTCACAACACCTTTCCCTCTCTACCTCCCCTCCTGCCTCACACCTCACCCTCCTATCCTGCTCACACACCTCCCTCCCTCTCCACATTCCTCCAAGCATTCCTCCCTCACACACCCTCTTTTCTCCCTCATCACACACACCTCACACTCCACACACACCTCACACCTCCACACACACCTCACACTCCTTACCTCACCTTCCACCACATCTCCCTCACCTCACATACTCACCTCCTGCACCTCACACCTCACATTCACACTCACACACTCTGCTCCTCCACACACACCTCACCTTCTTCACACTCACACACACTCATCTCTCGCCTCCACCCACACCTCACACACTTACACATCCCACCTCCCCTCACACATACTCCTCACACCTCACACCTCCCTCACACCTCACCTCACATTCTTACACTCCACGCCTCCACTTACACCTCCCCACACCTCACACTGCACACACACACACACACCTCACACACTCACACACTCACACACCTCACAGACTCACCTCCGCCTCCACACCTCTCACCACATCCACCTCACACACTCACACATTCCACCTCACCTCCCCCTTACATCTTTTACTCTTTACACACCTCCACACCTCCTCCACACACTCCCATCTCCACACCTCCACCTCACACTCCCCTCCCCTCCCCACACACCTCACACACTCCCACCTCATACACTCCCCATCACATCTCCACACCTCCCACACATATCACACCGCCACACTCACACACCATCTGCTGCCACACACTCCGCTGACCCCCCCCTCACCTCCTCCCACTCCACCCTCCTGCCCACCACTCATGGTTTACTCCAGCCAGCCTACATTGAGTTTAGAATCACTTGTAAACTGCGAAGTCAGGAGAAGGAAGCTTATAAAGCGAATTTCGGAGAAGGGAAACACACAAGCGAATTTGTGTCTTCTGATACTAACATAACCTAACCTACCCTAACCTAACGTAAACTAACCTAACACTGTCTGGGAGGTTAAGTTAGGTTCGTGTTAGAGTGTTTAATCTTCAGATGAAATAAGGTGAGAGAGAGAGAGAGAGAGAGAGAGAGTTTTCCTCAAACTTCAGAGGAGGTTGTGACCTTCTCTGCTTCATAGGACGGTGGTATGGTGTTCCTATAAGCACCTGGTGACCAAGCTCCATTAAGGACTTAAGCTGTGTAATGCCACGGATGAACCGACCCAGAATGTGCCAGCAGTGTGAAGATGCTCTGGGTGTCTGATGGGATACTGACACTGGAGAATTTGAGAGTAATTACTATTAAGTGAACAATGTCACTCCCAGCGAACTGCAGACATGTATATATGGCAGCTAAGAACAGAACTATACTGTGTTGTTGGCAAAAGAGGAAAAACACTATGAACCAAGATGATACAATGCTCTTACACTGTTGCTGGCAGTTACTGAGGCCTGTTTTATAATGCTGAATTAATACTGGTGGTCTTATTATTCAGTTAGGTTCATAGTTATTTAATTATGACATTTTTATTTCATGTTTTATGTTGTCTTGATCTAATGAGTTCCAGGTTAATTTCATTCCATTTTTTTATAACAATTTCAGTATTTGACCGTTGTGAAGTATATATCATGTCTGCACTCATAAATATAACTCATTTATGTTCATGGTCATACATTCTTTTGGTATTAACTTCATTATTATATTTTTGCTCAAGTCCACGATGCAGTAACGCGTTATCAGTTTACAGTTTTAACAGTCGATATTTTTCATCAGTTTACAGTTTTAACAGTCGACTTTTTCTCCCAGGTGTGACTGTGGCTATACCTGAGAAGCATTAGTAGTGAAGATCAATAATTATCACCATAAGACGTCTGGTGTATAACTGTTATTGTTTACAGTATTGTAACTCACAGTTGACCTCAATAATACTCGTTTGTTTTTGTCGTTGAGGGAAATATTGTTGTTTTTGTTGTTTGTCGTTGTCATTGAACCTGGTAAAAATATCTCGTGTTAAATAATTCACTAACCCCTCCACACACACGTTTCTATATACATGTCTTGCCGCTGAAGGTTTTCCAATAGATTTTAAGCCATGTCTGTTTCCTCAGTTGATTGAAGTAGATGTTTTATGTGCGGTTTGTATTTTTATTTTTCAGTTTATATACAGGTGATGGTAGGTCACTGAGGGGAGAGTTTTAAATCATCTTTGTTGACGCTTATAAAAGGCTATAATGGGTAGTACTAACTTTTGGCTACTGTTTTTTATTTTTTACTAATTTTTCCGCCAGAAGTTTTTGTTAATTCTTCTTATATTGTTTTTGTTATTGAGTTCAGTGTCCCGTTTTCACCCGGTGTTTCTCGTTCTTGCTTCTCTCTCTCTCCTCTTCCGTCATCGTTCTCCTTCCCTCCTTCTCTCCCTCACTCCTTCACTCCGTTTTCTGTGGACCTCCATAATACTCGTCATTCCTCGTTACTTGTTCGACGTTAATAATCAAGACTTGTGTAACTCTTGTGGCTTTTAATTCATGTTGTAGTAGTGTAATAACTGATAGTTTTTACGAGCTTAAAGACCTTAGTTGTTGAAGTGGAGTAATAACATTATAACAACATTGACCTCAGTATTCCCGTTTTTATTCTTCTTTTGTTTTAGCTTGACGGTGTAATTTGTCTCAACTTTCAAAACAGAGATAAATGGCGAGAAATGTTTCGTTCATTCTACCTTTATGATGATTAGATGAGACACTTGTAACTCTTCCTCTCCTCAGCTTGTGGTCAAGATCATCTGTTAAGGATTATGACGTACAAACATGCCATCGTCTTAGGAGCAATATTGAGTTTTATAAATAAACTTTCTCCGCTTTCCTTTGCCGCCAGGCTGGAAAAAGCAGACGGGAGGTGATGTAGTTGGTCGCCTTCAGCAGAAACGACTTCATGAACAACAGTTTCAGGTTCTTGATGAAACTGTCAGGAACTTGAGACATGCGGTTGAGGACGTGGAGTTTGTTGCTATTGATTAAAGTAGCTATGTTGATTACGGTGAACAAGAGTTTAAAATTCTGTTTTGCTAACACTTGCCTGACGACAAGGATGTTTCCTACGCTGATAAATGTGTTTACTTCGTTCTTCCTCGGGTAGAAAAGTAGAGCCCCGAGTCAGACCTGGACGGCAACTGTTGGCCTCTGGTAGGAACAACCTAGCGGCCGTTCCTAGGACTGGCTTAACTGTTTCTTTCATGTGTTGGAGTTTTATATCCGTGTGATCGTTTGTAGAGTCAGATAAAAACAATACAGTCGCTGTATACGCCGCTGGTACATGAAGGGGCTATGGCTCAGTGTTGGTGATAACGATGGCAGAAGTGCTGGTGTCGTGTCTCTCTGTTACACCTTCATCCCCGACAGTAAGTTTGTCGTCGCTGGTAATTATCATCTTCCCTGAACTGTGTTGACTTCCTTAATGTTCTGCAGCCTCCAAGTTTCGTTCTGGATGTTTCACGAGACTTAATGTCGAGGTGTCCCACAAGAGGGTGATGATGTGCTGAGTGGAGGAGACAGATGAGGTTCTCGTCTCTGAGTAATTCATGTGTCGCTTTAACTTCTTCACTACACGGACGACACTTTTAATATTTGGTTTAGTTAAGTACACACCATTTTCTTCAGCTCAGTGGCAACACCGTACACAAGGGGCAATTACTGTACGTCACATAGCTTATGCATGAAGGTGATAGTGTGACCCAGAGACTTGACGACCAGATGGAGACAGTATAGTAAACACTACACTCTACCGCCTTTACACACACACACACACACACCATCGTATTACTGTGGGAGGGATGTGGTAGTGGAGTTAACGAGGTCCAGGTATGGGGTAGTGGAGTTAACGAGGTCCAGGGATGGGGTAGTTGAGTTAACGGGGTCCGGGGATGGGGTAGTGGAGTTAACGGGGTCCAGGGATGGGGTAGTGGAGTTAACGGGGCCCAGGGAAGGGGTAGTGGAGTTAACGGGGTCCAGGGATGGGGTAGTGGAGTTAACGGGGTCCAGGGATGGGGTAGTGGAGTTAACGGGGTCCAGGGAAGGGGTAGTGGAGTTAACGAGGCCCAGGGAAGGGGTAGTGGAGTTAACGGGGTCCAGGGATGGTAGTGGAGTTAACGAGGTTCCAGGATGGAGTAGTAGTTAACGGGGTCCAGGGATGGGGTAGTTGAGTTAACGGGGGTCCGGGGATGGGGTAGTGGAGTTAACGGGGTCCAGGGATGGGGTAGTGGAGTTAACGGGGTCCAGGGAAGGGGTAGTGGAGTTAACGAGGCCCAGGGAAGGGGTAGTGGAGTTAACGGGGTCCAGGGATGGGGTAGTGGAGTTAACGGGGTCCAGGGAAGGGGTAGTGAATTAAAATGGGTCTGAGGTAGTACTCTACTGGTACTGAACTAAGCTTATCTATCAAGACCGGGGTTTCTCAAGTACTAAGCTGGGGCTAAACTAAGCTCTTTTATCCTGACCGAGGTAGGACTAAGCTGAGACTGAACAAAGGTTATATATCAAGACAGAGTTAGAAGAAAGCTGGGACTAAACTAAGCTTACTTATCCTGACCAAGGTAGGACTAAGCTGGGGCTGAACTAAGATCCTCATGAGAGACTGAACGAAACAGATGCATGAAGTAAGACTTACACTTTATGTCAAGGTTGATGGGCTTGGACACACCGTCACCCTCGATGTTGGAGGCCGAGCAGGTGTAGCTCCCCCCGTGACGCCGCGTGACCTTCTGCAGCACCAAACTCTGGTTACTGACGATGATGCCCGCTGTGATGTTGTGCTGCAGCAGCCTGCCCTGTGAGGAGATAGTGGTGATACAGCAGCCTGCCCTGTGAGGAGATAACGGTGGTACAGCAGCCTGCCCTGTGAGGAGATAACGGTGATACAGCAGCCTGCCCTGTGAGGGGATAGTGGTGATACAGCAGCCTGCCCTGTGAGGAGATAACGGTGATACAGCAGCCTGCCCTGTGAGGAGATAACGGTGGTACAGCAGCCTGCCCTGTGAGGAGATAACGGTGGTACAGCAGCCTGCCCTGTGAGGAGAAAACGGTACAGCAGTCTGCCCTGTGAGGAGAAAACGGTAAGCCTGCCCTGTGATACAGCAGCCTGCCCTGTGAGGAGATAACGGTGATACAGCAGCCTGCCCTGTGAGGAGATAACGGTGGTGCAGCAGCCTGCCCTGTGAGGAGATAACGGTGGTACAGCAGCCTGCCCTGTGAGGAGATAACGGTGCAGCAGCAGCCTGCCCTGTGAGGAGATAACGGTGGTGCAGCAGCCTGCCCTGTGAGGAGATAACGGTGATACAGCAGCCTGCCCTGTGAGGAGATAACGGTGGTGCAGCAGCCTGCCCTGTGAGGAGATAACGGTGGTACAGCAGCCTGCCCTGTGAGGAGATAACGGTGGTGCAGCAGCCCGCCCTATATTTTTGGGGGCGGGGATTAGCTTACCCAAACACAGGTCACCGACCTACATCGGGGCCTGCAGGGCGAAAAAAAAAATAAATGAAAACAAAATTAATACACAGAAATGGAAAAAAATCAACAAATCAAAAGTGAGCGACATATATGTTGTGTTGTCAAAGGAATAAAAAATTGAGACTGCAATTGTGTGTAAACGAGGCAGAAAGTCAGATCAGCAACCTGGGACTTGGCCACAATTTTCGAGATGCCATATGGCAGCAGGGTCTACCATTAGACAACACATTATGTTTCCAATATCTTCCCAGGCGGCAGGACCTCCCTGTTTGATAGCTGCCTACTACCTACTACAGCCTACTACCACAACAGCCTGTACTGCATAGTACTACAACAACCTGTACTGCATAGTGCCACAATCGCTACCTTTATTGTAAGACAGTCAGGTGTAATAATGTGTTCCAAGACCCAGATGATACACTTAACACAACTGCCTTCGTAAATTGCCAGGTGACACAACACACTTAACTAAATTGCATTGTAAGAGAACATAATCAACCAAATTGTGGTGCCAAGATGAGTGGTGTCAACAAGGTGTTACTAGGTGGAAGAGGAGACGCGCACAGCTATAATTTAATCACAGTTGTCCACATAATCTAACCAGGACACAGCTATGTACCACATATTATATACTGTACACGTCTAATTGCTGTACATTTATTGTTATGAACTGTACAGTCTATGTACAAAGTTTTTATACCTGTATTGTCTAAGTACAACGTTTTTCTACCAGTACAGTCTATGTACGTTATTATACCTACACTGTCTCTGTACAGTCACCTCAAAAAGTTCATGTCCTCAGTATTCAGAATGAATGAACCGCTGGAGCATTCAGTCCCATGAAGCTCCGACACCTGCTTTGAGATGTTTTATGAATCAGTGTCATGAACCGCGACAATCAGTTCCTTTGTTGCTGTTGTCGTGTTTAGATGTGCCACAGTGGAGTGTTAATATGTGCCACAGCGGTGTGTTAAGAAGTGTCACAGTGGAGTGTTAAGATGTGCCGCAGTGGAGTGTTAATATGTGCCACAGCGGTGTGTTAAGAAGTGTCACAGTGGAGTGTTAAGATGTGCCACAGTGGAGTGTTAAGATGTGCCACAGCGGTGTGTTAAGAAGTGTCACAGTGGAGTGTTAAGAAGTGTCACAGTGGAGTGTTAAGATGTGCCACAGCGGTGTGTTAAGAAGTGTCACAGTGGAGTGTTAAGAAGTGCTACAGTGGAGTGTTGAGAAGTGTCACAGTCGAGTGTTGAGAAGTGTCACAGTGGAGTGTTAAGATGTGCCACAGCGGTGTGTTAAGAAGTGTCACAGTGGAGTGTTAAGAAGTGCCACAGTGGAGTGTTGAGAAGTGTCACAGTCGAGTGTTGAGAAGTGCCACAGTGGAGTGTTAAGAAGTGTCACAGTGGAGTGTTGAGAAGTGTCACAGTGGAGTGTTAAGATGTGTCACAGTGGTGTGCTAAGAAGTGCCACAGTGGAGTGTTAAGAAGTGTCACAGTGGAGTGTTGAGAAGTGTCACAGTGGAGTGTTGAGAAGTGTCACAGTGGAGTGTTAAGAAGTGTCACAGTGGAGTGTTGAGAAGTGTCACAGTGGAGTGTTAAGATGTGTCACAGTAGTGTGCTAAGAAGTGCCACAGTGGAGTGTTAAGAAGTGTCACAGTGGAGTGTTGAGAAGTGTCACAGTGGAGTGTTTACGAGGGAACATTTATAATCGAGAGGTAAGTGGTGGTCAACACTGGTTGTATTTGTTGAGGTTAATGTGTTAACTATGAGGATGTACAGTGAGGGTGTAGTTGTTGTAGACTGGAGCTGACTCAACCCATAACACCACCAACTGCTAACACTATATAACATTACCGTATTAGCCTAAAAACTCTTAGGAATCACTCCACAAAAACACTCAGTAAATATTTAGATGTTGCCAACACCTACTTATACATTGAGTCTTATATAGGGAGAAAGAGAAGAAAAAAATATTCTATAACGTTTCCGTCGGAAATTTATATATTTCGAGTATTTTAACCGATAAAATTACCAACAATACTATTAGTTCAAAGTGGAGGGAAAACGTTGGGTAAACACAAAAAAAAAAAATTAACTTTTGAAAACCTTAACCTTATTTTACCAAACCGTTAAAAATCATATAACTATAAAGAGTTTACCTTATTCATGTTTTCAGTGTTTAGTATGTGATGGTGTTGTTTTCAGTGTGATGGTGTTGTTTTTGGTGTTCAGATGAGGAGGGGATCCATAAACTTGAAAGTGATTCTTAGCAGTTTTGTAAGTCAGGAAAGGTTAAGTGAGATTTTCAAAGGTTTGTTTGGTGTTCTTCAAAGCCCTACCCACTTTAAACAACTAATATTGTGGGTAATTTTTTCTGTTAAAATACTCGAAAAATAAAAATTTCCGACAGAACGTTATTGACTGAATTATTTTTAGTTTTTTCTTTCCTCCTATATAAGACTCGATATATAAATAGGTATTGGCATCTTCAACATAACAACCAAACACACAAATAACACTTCACAATGTTAAATAAAAAATAAGATAATTTGCTGTCGGTGTGTGTGAGAGGTTTGAATAATATACCAGGTTCTTTGGAGACTTTACTTTTGCAAGCGTCAGACAGTAACTGGCAAGTTGGCAACCCGGCACTGCCACAGACAAACTCCTGCCTTCATACATGGGAAAACATATCGTACGATGATACTCCATCTTACAATCTCACATCCCCCCCAAATTAAAAGGAAATGACAATGCACATTTGAATTAACAAAAGGAAAACAATGCAGTGACAAAAACAATAACGCAAGGAAAAACAAACAATGACATGTCCGTGAGCTCGGAGACAGCGAATAAGACAAAAAAAAACAAAGAAAAAAAATCAAAACTAATTTTACACCACACAGTCAGCCAACCAACCCGGGGGCCTGCAGGCTCTCCCGGGCCTGGCCACGCCCGACTGGGAAGGGGCCGGGGGGTTTGCGAGCGAGGGCGTGGGTACGGAGGGCACCACAGAAGGGGGCCAGGAGGCATAGCGTGGTGCACCACAGGAGTTGTAGGCACAGGGGTGGCGCAGCATCGCAGGTGGCGTCTGTTGCGGATGGACACCCTGCCACTGCCAGTCAATCTGACGGCATACTGCCTATGAGGGCGGGCTTTCACCACTACGCCCGTCCTGTCCCAGAGCTTGGTGGCGGCGTCCTGCACATGCACCTGCGCGCCCACAGCTAGGGGAACCAGCTGGCGGAACACCTACCCCCGCAACAGAAGGATCCCGTCCTGGGCTTCGGCCAAGTGCACCTCCCTCATACGAAGCGCCCGCCGCAAGTGCTGGTCCACCTTATAGTGCTGTCTAGCCACGGGAACGCCATCATGGAGCTGGCGGCCGGTGGCAAGTTGGGCGGGCGACTTGTTCACCCCCCGCAAAGGGGTGTTCAGGTACTGGAGGAGGGCCTGGGATGTCCTATCGCAGTCCAGGCTGCCCCCGGGCCCAGTGTTATCCCTGAGGCGCCTCTTGGCAGCCTTGACCCCAGCCTCTGCCCTGCCATTGGACTGAGGAAAGTGGGCCGACGAGAGGCGCACCTCGACCCCCCATGACTTGAAGAAATCCGTCATATCACCGCTGGCAAGGTTGGTACCTCCATCCGTGGAGATCTGCTCAGGTGCCCCCCCACCTCATGAAGTAACCCTGCAGAAGGGCAATGATCTTGCCAGAGGTGGTCTCGTTGACGAAGTGGGCAATATCCAGCCAACCTGTGTGTTGGTCAGCATATGCTAGGTACGTGTGGCCCTGCAGGTGGAACACGACCACCACCTGTTGAAAGGGATAGTCTTGCGCGGGGGTCAAGACCAACTACTCCGGAGGCTGGGAAGGGGTGTGGGTCTCGCAAGCAGCACACCGGGACCGATGATACTGCAGGTTCACCCTCCATGCCAGGTCAATAGACAGACTGCTGGGCCCGCCTGAGCATGGAGTCGAGGCCCTGGTGCCCCACGAGCAGGTTAACGGCGACCCGATGGCGGAGGGAGTTGGGGATGACAAGGTGCACGCAGCCCTGGTCAAAGGTGTAGGTGACCAAACCCCCGACCACAGCCAACCTGTCCTTCACAGAGAAGTACGGCAGCAGACAGGCCACCTCCTGTGACTTGTGGGGGCGCCAGTCGCCCGCCAGCACCCTCGACACTAGCATCTGGTACACTAGATCGTCCGCATACCGCTTTGCACACGGTGTTCTCGTCTATAATGATGCACCCATCCTGATCCAGTGCTGCGATTATGACCACACACTGCAGCGCACAGGTCCTCCTCTTGGTCCATGTTCTCC